AGAGAAAAAAATGCAAACAAGCAGTTTTGCTGAAAAACAATTGTCTAATTATAAGATCTTTACTTACCGGTCGTGAATCGTCCCACGACAAGCTGCATTAGTGACACACAGAAGAGGGAGACTTTAGAACTTTTATACTTTGTCTTTTTTTCGTTTTTTTTTTTTCAGTACGATAAGAAGCCTTTCGTGTGCTAACAAGAAATCTCTGCTACGTTAACTAATGTGCGTGCACATCGTTGCAACAGGAAATGCAGCACTGTACACACATACACACACACACACTCTCTCTCTCACACTCACATTCACATACATACGTATGAGGATACTAACTTGATCTTGGACTGCCGCATGAACTGTTGGATCTTCCTCGCTGCCTGATGAGCCGCCTGCTGATGGACCGCCTGTTGCCTCGCACTGGCCGAGCCCGGCCGCGAGCGATAATTTCGATAGTTGTTCTGGATCACCAGTGCTGCCTTTGTGGCTTGCCTGCGATAAAAAGGTACAGTTTAAAAGTTCAAGTAATCTAGAAAATAATTCGATAATGAAGCCATTGCGTAAAATGACTCATACAAAACTTTAAAATAATTGCTAACGTATAAAGATACAAGAACGATAGAGAAAAAGGAAATAATTTTCATTTAAAAAAATGAAAATTTTGTTAAATTAACACGCTCTATGCCACAATGACTTACGCCAAATTTTCTGTTCAAGCCAACCCCATAATAATAATTTTCTAATTTTTAATGATATTGTATTTTGAAGTATATTTTATTTAACAAATATAATAAATTATAATAAATTTAACATTTTTACGATGGGAAAGCCACTGTAGATGCTGAATAGTGAATTATATTAACAAATCTTACTCAAGGAAAAACTGTAAGATTTAAAAAATAAATCCCCCTCCTTCTCTAAAGATTAAACGAAAATACCATATATATACACGGTCACCAATGAACATATTATTTAATAGCGTTTTTCATTAGCAAAACTAGTGCGCACTCACAATGCACGTTAAAGCCGTTGTATATACACAAATCGACATAAAGATGTACGTTTAATAAAAATATAGAAACGAAATTAAATCGCGAAATATTCAATTTTATTGTGCTATTTGATAAAATACATATTGGGCATTTTATCAATTAAATATCTCACTTTTACATTTTGATTAGAATAATGTACAACAGCTTTAAATGTGCACTGAGTGCGCCAATAAAAAACGCTATAAAATTGGCGTGACATGAAACGTGTTAATGCATTTAGATTATTGTTTAGCGATAAATGATAATCAGAATTGGCCATACGCCTGATAACTTGCATTACTTCTCGCGATTTATGTTTTCGCGAAGATTTTACAATGATAATATATAGTCAGCTGATTGTCACTAATTTCGGAGGCATTACAATAGGAAGTTCAAATCGCTACGTATATAACTCGGTGAACGCAGAAAGGAGTAACGGCAGAATACTGATCTCTAGTTTCAACGCGAAAGTCGTATTAATTTAATGCCAACTTAATTCTGTATTCAGGCCACCGTAACGAAGGCAGGGAAATCCGCAAAGTTTCCGAATTATTTACGATGCCAATTAAAAGTTCGCCTCAAGAGAGGTACACGGGATCGAACTTTGGTGGCATCAGTCTAATTCAGTCGGAGGTCGTTAAGTCGGTTCACAATGGTACGTCTTGTCCCCCAGTTATTAATTGTTCCTTATTAAGATGTTTCCCCGCAACCTTCTCGACTAGCGGAATATCGATGGAAATTTAACTTTCTAAGTTCGGAGCAATTTGGCGATGTCTGCGCGATACGAGATAATGATCTGTCATACTTAACAACCTTGAGTTCAAACCTGATAACACGTGCCCGCATAAAGTCGGACGATTTGTATCTAAACGTCGCATGCGTCGCGTAAGGTAGTTAGTACCATTGTAGTCAGACAGCGAGTGATTCATTTCGTTCTTAAGACTTTCGAAGTTGGAGGAAGTTCGATGGCATGCGAAATGTTAAGATAAAAGGAAGGAGAAACGTTGAAATGCGCGAAATAGGCCATTCTGAATATAAACACACAAAGATATATCAGGTAACAAAAAAAGTTCTGTCGTTTTTCTAGAATTACATATTAACTTATACACAGAAAATTGGAAAGAAGGTGCCATAACAATGTGGAAATTAACCCGGAAATGTGAGTATTTCAATCACATTTATTCGTGCTTATACAAGTTTAAATGTAAAATTTGTTTTAAATTTAATTTACAGCCTTTAGGCTGTGCCTTCTAGGAAAGCATATATCTTTTAGTCATTTACACAACCTCTGTTCCAAGTTTAAACTCATACAGCATACAAGCACGAATAACAGGTTGAAATTCTCATTTCCGGGTCAATTTTCGTAATGTTATGGCATTTCCTTTCCAATTTTCTGTATATAAGTAGATTCTGTAGCACGTCTTATTTATAGTGTCACTGATATTGTAACGCAATCTATCAGGTCTTTTGCGTCATATACATCTCAGCAAACGTAGACATAACTATTATATAACACATTATGTATTTGCTGGGATTAAACTTTACATAAATAACTTTTTTTATTACCCGATATATAACAGCTATGAAACAATAATAAAATCAAATGTAAGAATATATATAAAAGATCTGTTAATAAAACTAACGCAGGGCAATAGACAACCCAGATAATAAACGTTTGCTAGCAGTTTGCTAGCAGATTAGCAGTAAATTCAACCAGATTCCACTGCAAATCCATAGTCATCTGTGTCCGCATTAAGCTCAGGATCGACAAAGCCTGTTAACATGCAATGCCAGCAGATTGATACCAGAAACTGAGCAACATCTGCGCGCGCGGGCAATCTGACAACAGACTGACGGGAGAAATCGAGCAGAAACGGAGCATTCTGTTTTGTTTCTATCGCACGCAATCTGCTGACAATAACGTGTCAATAAGGTTTGTCATATTTCTGGTAGTTTGTCGACATAATCAAATATTATAGACTCTATGTGAAATTTGTTGCCTTTCTACTATCAAAAATTAATAGCATGCTCTACTCAAAATCTGTCAATGCAGGCTTGACTATTTGAGAAGTTACCTGTGATAAGCGTACTGTTTATGACGGCGATAGTATTGTTGAATTAGAACGGCAGCATGCCTTTCAGCCTCCTCCTGCCTCTGGCGACCCTTGTAATTTCTGTATGCCTTCTGGATCATTCTGGCGGCATGATAAAGCTCTCTCTGTTCGCGATCAGATAGCGTCAATCTGCTGAGATCCGCTTCGCCGTTGCCATCTCCGTTTCCGACACCGATCGCCGTCATGGCTCCGGAACCGATCATGCCGTTCAATTTGCGCTCACCGCAGCCGTTTGGCGAGTAGTACTGACCGCTGTGAGCGTTACCGTTGCCGTCAAGTTGCAGTTGTAGCTGCAGAAACTCGCAGAAATCAGCAGTGGTGGGCGGCGGGGACGGCGAGTCTGGCGTCAGACAACTGCTGGAAGGACTCGAGGGACTGGCGTCGGCATCGGCGTCCGAAACTGAAGCGGCGCCGCCGCTGCAGTCACGGTACGAGTCGAACAGTTCCCCGGAGTCGAGAGGCTACAAGCAGTATTATTAGCATGTAAATAGAGCTTTATAACGGAATACTCAGGAACTTTGAAGTTCTATTTATCAAAACTCTAATCCGATTTAATCCAAAGTTTTACTCCTAATTATAATTCAAGACTGAATTGTTAATGATGCTGTTTCTCCGATTATATCTACCAGAAGATTTTGTCTCACTCGGGAAAGTTTCAACGTTCCAATTAATAATTCGCAATCTTTTATTTATATTTAATTAGCTTTGTGTGAAATCTAACATAAATAGAAATTAGAATAAAGGATTCTACAAGATGCGACATTCTGACTGTCAATAATAATAGCGTGATACTCTCACCATTTGTTCCATGAGAGCATCTTCCAAGGGTGACAGAGGCGCCGTGAGTGGTGGTGGCGAAGAAGAAGACGGAGAATCACCCTCCGCCCTCTTGATCCTTTCCGGTAGCGCCGCTATAATTTGCTCTGCCAATGTCAGCACCCTCGCGTCTTCTTCCCCTATAAAAAGGAATCACCACCCTAGCCAAATTCGAAAAGCTCGTGGTGGCAGACCGCCGAAATCACATCGATCACAACACCGAAGTTTTAAAAGCCGTGAAACGTGTTCTACGATGCATTGAGATACTGTCACAATGTCAGATAAAATGTTTAACATCAAGTGCGTCGCTACGACACGAATTGACAGCACGAAGAATCAGACAAAGTCGCTGGTGAATACGGCGCTTTCCTACTCATTTCATAAGATGATAGCCGGCTGAGATACCTCCACATTGGTCGACTGGGCAGATCGCGTGTCTGTCCAGGTGATAATTTAGTCGCTATACTATCGTGAAAAGGTTATATACAGACAAGATTATTGCTCGAGAATAAGCCTCGATAGCCGACAGTAGGTAGTGGCTAAGAAAATTTAAACATTACACAGCAATTCATCCAACATGAGCGGTTACGAAGGCCAAGCAACACCAATTGTTCAAGCTGCAAGAGTTCAGAGGAGTTAGAGAAGGCAGCGAAATCGTTGACCGATTTCGGTCGTCGAGTACGCATACAGAGATAGACAGAGAAAGAGAACACTGCTGTACGCATGTACATGTGTCTAAGTATGTGTAACAAATGTGTATATGTGTATGTGTCTGCGAACAAGGGAGGTGGACGCAGTTTCAGCTAGGATCTCTACGGAATTCGCAGGCCACGTGATTGTGGTAGTACGTCTAGGCCAGTCCGTTTCTATCGGTAGTGTGTCACAGAGAACAGATAGAGAATTACGGATAGTTTTTACAGACAGACAGGCAGACAGACAGACAAATAGAAGAGGAAACGAGGAAGGTACGGACCTACGGTCTCCTGAGGGGTCGGAGCGCTCTCCATTCCCTGTTCGCTGAGGCCTAACGACGACTCATCTTCTTGCAACAATTCCATGTTGTCCAGCAGCGGCGAACCACCTGTGTGTTTTTCGATAAACCCCACTTAATACTATATACGTTGCCTAATTTATTACGCTCGCATGACTTACGGCCTTTTTGTTACTCTACAATTTTTACAAACTGGACGAGGGAAAATATAATGGCGCTGAGAGGGCTAATCGGCAAAGGTAGGGTGTGACTATACGTGTATCAGATACGTGAATGTGTGTGCGTGTATACGGAAGAGAGGGCAGTATATAATAGCAAACGAGACTAACACAACGCCAGATCGAGACCGCTGTCTTGAGATGGCCGCCTAGGGCTAGGGCTGGCGGGTCGCAAGAAAAGCCTCTCGTCTTGCCTTCGGGTCTCGAGCTGATTCAGTTCTTCGGCGATCGCCGTGTGACCGTTCTCCGCGGCCAGCTCGGTCGCTGTTCTATTCTGACAGTCCCTCACGCGTAGTGCCATAGCATTCCATCTATGGAGGCAGAGTTAACAACAAATACTTATTAAAAATCAATTCAATTAAAAATCAATATATTCGTGGTATGAGGCAATTGCGAGCTACAAAGGCGAAGGTGTGTAAATTTTGTAATAACCGAACAACTAAATCCAGTTGTTCATAATTAATGTTAAACAAATGTTGACCAAATAAGAATATATCTTTACGAACCTGTAAAGAATCCTGGCGGTGTCGGCATGCCCTGCCGCACAAGCCCAAGCAAGTGGCGTAAGGCCGGCGCTGTCCTGCCTAAGAGCATCGACCTCGGCGTCTAAAACGCTACTAGGATTTTCTGCTCTCCAGTGAAGGAGTGCACAGGCTAACCTGGAGTATCCCAATCCGGCCGCCAAATGCAGAAGGGTAGGCCCACCGGATTGAAGAGGTTCCGCTCCAGCTCGCCAAGGACGGACAACAGCATCCTGCAATATTTCAAAATAATAAAACTTTAAACAACAATAAATGATATTAAACCGATATGTGAATACAATTATATAAGAAAATGTCTCATTTGGTTTCAAGGTTAAAAGGTTTATGCTCAATAACATTTTGATCATTTGAATTTATATACATCCAATTCTGTAAAGTTTAATGATTAGTATAGAAATATGAAGTAGTAGAAGTACCTGGCAATAAACAACTAAAATATCAAGTAGTAGAAGTACCTGGCAATAAGCAACCAGTCGCTCTTCCAGATGAGCCGCGGGAGATGGCGGACCGGGACCCTGCAGACGGGCCTCGACGTCCGCAAGACGGTCCAGCAGAGCTTTCTCTGGGCTAGGTTCGCTTGTCGGCGCTCTACGATATTCGAAGGCAACGCTATCAGACACGACGAAACCGTCACAGGCCACCTGGAGGGACGCTATTCCTGGTGCATGTGCGGGACATCGACAACGCAGTACACCCGGTTGCACGAGGCACGCCTCGACCGGTTCCGCGTCGAAAAGTACCGAATACGACTGAGAACCACTACCGCCGGTCCACGGACCAGCAACTAATACCTAAAATACCGTTTATATCAAATCCTAGCAAACACTAATTAACAATAACATATAACTGTTAGTTATAATTTACCACTCTTTACAGTTATAAGGGTATTGTTGATTGGAAAATTAAACTAATAGTTATGTTACATAGTAATTAGCGAATATTTTTGAAAAAAAGAAAGCTGTAAATATATTTTATTCACACCTTTACACCACCCTCGGTGTAACTCCACTCAGGACTATATTCTGCAATATGGACGGTTGTACCAGGATGACATCCGACATCGTTCTCGGGACCACCTCGCTGTTCCTCGTGCTTTGTTTGCTCGGCCTCGAAGTCGTGCAGCTCCGGCAAATCGCCGAACACATCGAACGCGTCCAGATTGACCAGCACGTCATCCGATGAGTCGATAAAGTCCATCGGATTAATCATGCTGTTGTCCGCCGGCGAAGGCGACGGCGACGGAGGCACCATATTGGCCGACAGTGTCCTCTGAATGTCTTCCTGACTCAGATCCAGCGTCTCCGCGAAATCGGTCACCTCGGAACCGGAACCGCCCATTGGCAGAGACTGCACAGCAGATCTGTCCAAACTCTCCTGTGCGTCAATTTCTTGCTGCGTTTGCTGTTCTCTATCGACGCTGGTTTGCGATACGATTTGTTGCTCTGTGACCTGTTGCATTTCCACCTGCTGACTTTGCTGCTGCTGTTGTTGCTGCTGCTGTTGCTGCGGTTGCTGCTGTTGCTGTTGTTGTGGTTGCTGCTGCTGCTGCTGTTGCTGCTGCTGCTGTTGCTGCTGCTGTTGATGATGATATGGTTGACTATTGAGTATCAGAAGACCACCACCGCCTTGAATTTGTTGCAAACTTAAAACTAGAGGAGCCGGCTGTTGACTCTGAGTAGAATGGGAATGTCTTGAATATACGCGGGGAGCCGGAGCCGCCGTCGTCGATTGTTGTTGACCTCCCGTTGTCGAAGAGACCTATTTTAAACAGCTGTATGTACATAGTCGTACATGCTACAATTTATTTAATTGCGCGATCACGTTACATAATGTTATTAAATAATTTTTATAAAAAAAGATTCTTAACCCGTAATAGAAATTTATTTATAATTATTGCGGCCAATTAATAATTTGATTAATTAACATCAATTAATTTTTATAATTATTGCTATTATTATCTATTATTTAATTATTAATTATTACTAATTATTAATAACTACTACTACTATTATTATTAACTACTACTACTATCTACTATTATTAATTATTCCTACATTATCTAATTATTACTACTATTATCAATTAATATTATTGCGGCAAGTAATTTTCAAACGTTATAAATTATTGTTGAAAATTCCATATTGTGTGACGTGTATAATACCTGATTGTCGGGCGTAAGTCTCCTAGGTGCGAGTTGAGTGCTGCTGGTGGAGGAAGTGGAGGATGCCCTCTGTCTATCAAGCAGCTGAGAGACTATCATGTCGACGGGATGGTTCGAGTGCTGCGTGAGATGAGGATTGTTCGGATCATCATCTCCACCGAGGAACATGGGCCTTAATTGTGACGCTAGCTCGTCTCGCGTCCATTCCTTCTTGTCAGGTGGCAGCGCGAGGCAGGGTGGCAGGGCCGCCAGCTTCGCATCACCGTCCGGATAAGGTACGTTCAGATAATGGACAAGAACCACGTCCGGATTCTGCAGTAGCCAGTAACATCGGCGATGAAACGTTGGAAGGATCGCCGAGTGCACGTAACAGCCGTAGATGCACTCGACACCCTGAACCTGTGATCAGATTAAAACGTAATAATACATTAATAAAAATTCATTACAAAATTTCGTTCGTAAATCTTAATGGAATTTAGAATAAGCTGCAAGCGTTTTAAATAATTAATATTCTTCTTGTTTTGTTAAACATAAAATTACCTTCAATTTCATGTGATCCTCCCGTGTAGTCTTTCCATCTTTTCTTTTCTTCCAACAATAACCGTCGCGCCGATAGCGTACTTTCTTCCTCGAGTACAGTAACATCGAACCACTTCGTGGTCGTACTTTCACCTCCCGACTTTGCCATTCGGCGTGCCTCTGAAAACTGATTAGGATGGCGGCAATTTCCTGAAAATAAAAAAATAGGTTGCATTTATAAAATAAAATATAATCTGATATCTTATACATATATATGTTTTAACATCATATGGTGCATTTAATTTAGCTATTCAATTAAATTTTATTAAATTGATATTTTATTTTAACACTTGTCGAATAAAGATAAAATAAATCGTACAAAGAAACGCTGAACCGAAGTAGACTTGTTATAAAAGCTGTATGGAATGCAGCTTTTCAGATATATCCGCTGACATGCTTTTCTCTATAGATTTGGCTTCAGTCCGAAAATTGTGCTGACAGATCTCTGTTCTATCTTTCAGACTGTGCTTTCATCTTTGAAGAAATGGAATCATAGATAGTCTCAAACACACATTGAAGAAACGGAATCATAGATAGTCTCAAACACACGTTGAACGACAAATTCCGTGATACATATGTTTGCACAGGCATTGAAAACTGTGTTCCTCAAAAGAATGTAACCTAATAATATCTTTATAATACGATTTAAGAAAACATTTTATTCATAGCAACGTAGACATTATTCGTAGACATTTCTGACCTATCAAGTATTTTAATCTGGTTAAATGGGAGTTTAATTATAATAATTAAAAATTTATCGATTAATTTTGTTGAATTAAATGTATATAAAAAGAAAATAAGATTCAAATTTCATGGACAAAATGAGATTTCACTTTTAAACTGTCTAACGCGCGACATAGTCAACAAGTCGAAACGGCAAAATAATTAACCTCGAGTTCTTGGACGGGATTTTGGCCTGGAAAATTCTATCTTCTAGCATCAGAACCAAAAACACTTAACATAATGAATAATTCAGCAGCGACACATACGCGCTTGACGTACTAGACGAATGAAAAATGGAGAAACTGTCTTCGGGTCGGATATCTTACCGTATACCTTACATCGCACATGTAACACGGCAGAGACGTGAAATGTGCATGTTACGTTATTCGCATTTACACGCTGCTAACAATAACAGCGCCATTATTACGGTTCATTATTGATTTTCACCGCGAGGAACCGCTCGGCGTAATTTTAAGCGGGCAAGGTGCGATAGTACGGCATTATTAGAGAAGGAAGTAACACCGACTTCTTACTAACGTTAAGAAATGCAATTATCGCGAGGACTTTTGATGTCGTCTATCACGATAGTCTCTGTAATCCCCGCCTTTCCGCTCCATTTTTCTCTTTCATCCTTCAACCGTACACACGCGCCAACGCGGCACGCAATAATCGGCACTTGGAGAACCCGCACGATGCGCATAATCAGAATAAAAATGCAAAATTCGTTTCTATAAATATTCGTATTACGGCATGCGATGCTTATCAGCAATTCAGGCTACTTGAGGACATAAAAGAAGAAAGCCAGCGTCCACGGGAAAAAAAAACGAATTCAACAGCTGAAAGTGCGGTAAGTAGGTAGCCAGGGGCGCCCACGACACGCGACCTAAAGTACAATAATGCAAAACGAACCAGTGCACCCGGTCGATTTGACCAATTTGAAAAATTTAATCATAGACAGCAGTGTGAAGTGTATGGGTGCCCCATAATTAGCCTCACGAAAAGAATAATTTTACTAAAAAATTTAGCTAGACGCATCTAAAAATAGCTAGTTTTATTAAACCAATAATATAATTCAGTATAGGACGCTCAAGCTGGTTCCTGAAATGTTAAACTTTTTGCAACATTAATATTAATATTTATGAGGATATTACCGCTTTAGTACCACTTTCATACCATCTTTTAGGAATTTTTTTTTTAATATGAAAGTTATAAACTTGAAACTTGATACATTTTTCTTCGATGTTTAAATTCTTTTTTTTATAATTAAGTTTTTTACAAATTCTTTCAAATGTTATAAAAGATATTTTGGCAATTATTTGTAAATTTGTAAATTTGTCGAGGCATGTAAATAAAATAAAAATTTACTGTTGTGTGCCAAATATTAAAGAATAAATGTATAAATTTTCAAGTTTATAGCTTTTATACATTTTTTAAAGAAATTCTTTAAGAAAGGGTACTGAAAGCGGAAATACTATCTTAAGTGTTCCATATAATAAGTTTAATGGTCCAACAAAATTGTTTTCAGATCGGGGTATCTAGTTAAATTCTTAGCTGCTTTAATAAAAACTTGTTAATAAACTTCTTTCCGTGCTCAATTCAAAGATTACTAGTAAAAAATTTCGAGATCAAAACTAATAAAATATACATTATTCGCAACTTGATAATTTGATGAAATAATAACAATTTGATCAACAATAGAAATTGTATCATTATTTATGGTTTCAATGATTATAAATCTTGGTAGTGTACAAAGATATCATAATTGTTAAAAATTGAATTCTCTTGCACAATATAATTAAATTAAATTAAATTAAATTAAATTAAATTAAATTAAACTAAATTAAATTAAATTAAATGCAGCATTCATAAATATTGTTCGTGTAGCGTGGCGTTTGTTAAGTTTGTAAATTTTATTGTTTGTTACTGAAGGACCAGGAATAATGGCGCGTGTGATAAATGCGAGTAATTCTCTTGCGATATTCTAATCAAGTTCGTCTTTAATTCGACTGGAAATACGGAGCGAGTGTGAGAGAGCGTACGCTACCTCGAAATTCCAAAATATAATAACGTAATAAAGCGCTTCACCTAAAAATTCTCTTCCGATTCAATTTCACTGATTTGGCAGAGTGCCCCGTGCATTTCTACGGAGAAGATTATAGAACGGTACTAAATATGCATATCAGCCGGAATATGTATCGCGCTCCTCACGAAGGTTACCATCGTACGTCATTAGAGCTTTTGTCAGAAGCACCACAGCCCCCACGCGGGCTGTCTCTCCCTCTAGTCCATTAAATTTCTTGGCCGTGATCTCGGTCTCGCGTCGAACCATATGAAATGTATCTGGGGCACTATATTTTATAGAACAACACCTTGTAATTATTTCTGATATATCTCGCTAACATTTATTCACAATAAAATATAGTTTTACAATATATAAGAAAAATTCTTCGCGCGTGAACGTATATTTTATATTCTCTTCGTAATATAATATTTTGTAAGAAGGATAAATTTAGTAAGACTCTCATGCATAACATAAAATTTAAAACGTTAATAGAAGAGCTGTCTGATACAGTTAGTGGTGTGTAAATTCTCTTCAATATAAAATTATTTTTAATTAAAATTCGTAACGTTTTGAATTTTATGATACATATTCTATAATATGTCAGGAGATGCGGTAGCATATCCTGTTAAGTATATTTTTGAAGTATCATTAGTATCGATAAAGACTGAGAGAATAATGTTTCTGTTGATAATTACAGATTTAGCAGAAACATGTAAGTTGAGTATTTAATGAGCGAAATACGAACTGTAAATACGAACATTTGTCACATTCGGCTAGAATGGCTGCGGTCCGCATTCGTACGCGAAGCACCATCCATCTGCCAAGTGTAAATTAAATTCCCGCGAGATTCTGCGGCTATCTTCCACGTGGTATTGAGGATAACCCGAATACCGCACGACACAGGGCTACATGCACGTCGGGCCACGTATCTTGTGCACATTTTGCAGTGACAGCGCCAGCTTTTGATTAGGCTCGCTACGTGAACCGAACCCACACACCATTTATTTTAGATGAAGCATGGCAAGATTGGATTTCCAAGATAAATATGATCGCCTAGAGCTTATGGAAAACATGTAACCGGATTTGGGAAAAGATTACACATCCATCAACAAATAATCTATTCTCCTTCACTGATTCTGACGCAACAACCTTGCGCTACTATATTCTCTTTTACGAGATTTGACTTATAATTTGTATCCTCTTTCAATAAACACAATCATTTGTAACGGAAAAAATAATTGATGTGAAGAGATCATTTCTTATTATCAATTGGCACACGAGCTCAACAGTACGTTGTTGTAATATTGTAGAATCAAATTGTATTTACTAATTGAAAATACTTTTTCCGTTCCAAATGTTAATCACGAAAAGACAGCCGTGTGGCAGGGAATTCGGAGGCTACTTAATACCTTCGTGTGCGTCCCATGGGTATAGTTTCAACTTTCGGAAAGGTTCTCGAACGAACGTGTCCTGGATAATAAATGTCGTCGATGAGGGCTGGCCAAAAGGAAAAGGTGAGTAAGAGTAACAGCAAATGGACAAAACGAGTTATTATGCGATGCGATGAGAATAATAACAGTAATAATGTCACTATGTCTAAAACCCCAGATGATGGTAGAATACAAAATCATAATAAAATCAAGATGACATCAAGTAAAGGTTATTTTCGGAAAAATCATAATGATACGTTTAACAATAATTTTGTGATTAATTCTTGATATAACAATGACTTTTAATTTAAAAAAAATCACTTAAAAATTATCATGTCAAGAATTCACCACAAAATCATTGTCAAAATGCATTGAATAATGTCATTACGATTTTTCTTAAAATGACTTCTGCTTGATGTCATCTTAAAATTAATTTTATTACGATTTTTTATTCGATCTGAAAATGTGATACCATCATAAAATTTCGTTGAATGAGTGGTTTATTTTGAGGAATAAAGTTCTTTCAAATGAATCAAGCCTTAAAAATCAAAGATGTAACTCACACAGAATTAAAATTAATATGAATATAATAGGAGTATATATTGTCATCGAGTTAAAAAATACGACATCCAACAATACTTGTAAATTGCGATATAAATCAACCTATAGACAATAAGAAAGGGCAATATTCGGCGCGAGGATCGTATCAAAATAAAATGAAAAAAAATGTTCCTTCCTCTTCCATATTGCTCATTTTGGAGCATTTCATATAACAAGATCGTGGAGAGCATACGAAAATAGGATGGAAGAGACCGATGCCGGCTCCGCCGGCCATTAGACCAGCCGGGCCGGGCACCGACAACGGCGCTAGATAAAGCCCCCACCCAGCACGGGGTGATTTACAACTGGTTAATTGATCATTTGCATTCTAGCGA